TAAAGTACACACTTGAAGGTGCATTAGGTGGATTTGTGGTGGCTATGATCTCAACTTATTTTTGTTAAAAATCAGTGCTTGAAAAAATCAATTACCTCAGAATCTTTCATCCATTTCGAGGTAAGTGATTTTTTCAAGCACCTAATTTTAATATTAGTAAGTTGGGAGTCATTTGAGGCACCAACATTATGAGTACACCTACAAAGATGTGAATGTTAAAAATTTAAATGCAGTATACTGTTTAGCAATCCATGTTATTTTACTAGCAAGAAAATGTTTAAAATGTTATAACTATAATGTACACATATTATTGTTGAGATAATATACTATTTTCTGCATTAATGCATCCAACACTTGCAGAGTTATGTTATGTTTTGAGTGTGGGCTAGAATAGAATAAAATATGATTACATTACATGCTCAGGCCCGTAGCCAGGATTTGCCAAGGGAGGGGTTCAGTTTTCAAAAATTTCCAGGGGGTTCACAATTGACAATTTTGGCCCAAATATGGCTAAAATCACTTTAGAAGTGCTCAAAATGGTGAAAAACTGCATGATTTTGAAAGAATTTTTGGCTAGGGGAGGTTCGCCTAAACCCTGCGAACCCCCCCCCCACCTGGCTACGGGCCTGCATGCTACTGACTCAATCAAAAATTCATTTATTTAACATCTATAGAGCAACATTGGAAAGAGCCAGAGTCCTGCTCACTGAATAAGTTTGAAGATAATATTATTGAAGTTGATGCAAGTTAAATTACACATGAAAAATATATTGAAACTAGTTATTGAAAGAACTGGCAAACTCTTGATAAAATACTCATTCAAGTTCTAAATATTTTTGATGAATTAATATGATATACAGATATACAGGTTCTACTGTAGTTGCTTTATCCATGAAATATTTAAATGAATTTGTTTTTAATTAATAATAAAAATCATAAAAATTATTCAATATACAGAATATAATTCAGGTCAAATGGCAAAATTGTATACAGAAACTAATTATTCATACTAAATCACGACAGAATAGTATCACCAGAAAAGATTGTTGATGTTTAGACCCAATTCTAATGAAATACCAGACCTATTCACCTTATCTACTGAACACCCTGTATAATGCAATGCATAATTAATGGCCTTATGTCACACAGACCAGATCCACCACAGGCTGTAGATACACTTAATTTTGAAATGTTTTAATTTGATGTATTGGCTGATTGAAAAACCAATTTTCAGATCTATTTTGAAAAATCCCTAGGGAATCAACATTGGATCGCATGATTTAATTTCCATTAATGACGGCTTACATTCCAATGTTCATTTAATTACATAATATATTGTAACTCAAATACAGGATCAGATCATTGAATTTCAAGTTGTAATTCACCTTTCCACAAAGTAAAGAAAATCGATAATTTCCGGCGCGCTGATTGGTTGTATGCAAATGAGTCAAATCAATGACGTCAATGATGGAAAGTTTTGAAGAATTAGTACAGCAAGCAAAGGAATATTTTGAATTAACTGCAATAAAAAGGACTCTATTTGCCCAAAGAACTAATTATTTTTAATCAAATATGAAATATGGACGGGGCACTTTCATTTCGAATGTTATGTAATTTAATTTAACCATTTTTTGACAGAACTATTGTTTATTAAGACTTCTCAGATCAGCCTCACTTACCCGTGTATGACGTCAATGATGGAAAGTTTTGAAGAATTAGTACAGCAAGCATAGGAATATTTTGAATTAACTGCAATAAAAAGGATTCTATTTGCCCAAAGAACTAATTATTTTTAATCAAATATGAAATATGGAGGGGGCACTTTCATTCCGAATCTTATGTAATTTAATTTAATCACTTTTTGACAGAACTATTGTTTATTAAGACTTCTCAGATCAGCTTCACATACCGGGGGTCACATGTCTCGTGCGATTGTAAACAAAATATGTAAATTGTGAAGTTACAAACAACTCGGTTAAATTATCTGATAGTGGTCATACACTATCCTGTTAAATGGTTATTATGTCGTAGTGACAAGTTCCATTAGAAATTCACCATAAGTGACATTCGCGCAAAGTGTTACCTTTAGGTATTTATTCGCCATCAGCGATGTCAATAATGATCAGCAATGTCAACATATCATCAATAAACATTATATGATATACGCTCTTTCTCTGAAATCTTCCCAGTGATCATTATTCAAAACCGATCATCACATAACTAATTTATTCAATGACAAGTGAGGTTTCACAAGTGAAATCAGGACACCCATATCCATGTTTGTTTTCTATAAAAGCGTTCTCATTCTCATTATTTTCGAGAAATCCATCATCATTTTGGTTAAAAAAAACTCTACGGTCTGCTGGATCTAATTTGACAGTTTTGCTTTAGCAAAATATTTTAACAAATTGACTGTTTCTACACTGCACTGAATAAAAACATTTTCCCGGGAATATATGGATCGGGAGATACGCAGCGGGAAATAAACATTGAAATATATATATATGTTAATCGCATACTTGGACGTATATAAGACGTATATTGGGAATATTTGAGAGAACAGGAAAATCCGCCCACGGCCAAAAAAACAAAACTGGACATGAATATTCTAAAATATTTCCACGATTGAACAATGTGAACCAGATGACCAAGATTGGTATGGGATATACATATTATCCTATCCTGAAGCTCATATAGGATAATCTTTATATATGTCACGCTCATCCAAGATATCAATTCTATATCCCAATGTTTTCAAGTATAATATTTTCAAGATACGATCTGATATGACTTGCAGAAATAAATAGGAAGTAATCGTCTAGTTATTTGAATTATGGAAGTAGTGAAGTCAATGATTTAATGAATAAGAGCAAATGTTTTTAATTTGAACAGGTCATTCATCAAATGACACTGAAGATTAACTAAAATAGATAAGTCTATCTATATATTTTTATGCATGGGAGACATGTTATAATGTTGGTGAACTAATGATTATGATAATTTCACCTGTTCACATCCAGTTCCTATCATGATTGAAAACTGACCGGGGGTAATTCTCTTCAAATTATTTACTCATTATGAACAAAAATTTTATATTTAATATTTAATAGATAATCAGCTGAATTCTGAAAAAGTGGGACAATCATGATAATGAAAACATAGTCATCATAACGACCATATCCTACCAATGGTGTGAAAACAGATAATGAACAGACATAGACAAGCACAAGAAGCAATTATTTCAATCTTATTGAATTTTGGCCTCATTTCTTTAGTCTTTACCAATTGATTACATTACCTTCTTCTAAATGGCATATTTAAATTCAGTGAAATGTTTTCTCCTATAATAGCTTTGATTTACACCATTATGTAATTTGAATAATTTTCTATGACAATTAAAAACACTTGGGCCAAATCTCCATAGATGCAATGCTAAAATTCTTTAAATGTCAAACAACATGTCATCATGTGGTATATCATTCAAGTTTTATACAGAATCAACTAACACTCTTCTGATAAATCATGAAATTAAGCCATTTTTCCAAGATTTTAGCATGTAAGTGAATGGAGCTGAAGCCCAAATTAAAAGCTGAATAAAAGATGGCAGCACTAGATTTCATTGCTTTTTCTGCTATTTAGAAACTTTCCTATTTTGTCAATGCTTTAGATCAGATTCTGCCTTGAAGGAAACTATACTCATATGATATGCTGGTAATCAATGTTTAAATGCATCTTATCTAGTATCTTAATGTCTGAAAATATAATTTAAAATGATACCATGGGTGATCTAAATGGGCTATTTTTATTTGTTAACATTTCAGAGAAGGTAACAATGAAATAAAGATTAAAATTACCATCAACTTTTGAAGGGAAGAGGATTTATTGAAAATTTTCATATTTTTACATGAGGTGGGGTATGTGCGCCTTGGGGCAAAACATAATATTTAAACAAGTATTGAAAATAAATATTGAAATTAAGTACTCTAGATACTTGACATAAATGTGTTTATTCTTTTCTAATGTAGGAATTTATCACATCTACCTATTACAAGAAAATATTATTGATGAACAAATATTTTTTCATGATGGTGGACGCATGGGGTACATGTGACCTAGAGAAAAAGTACAAAATATCAATTTATTCATATCTGAGTAAAAAGATTTCAACATGTTTCACAGTATATATTTAATAAGCCAAAATAAAGCTTTTCACTAACTTTCGAGAGATTTGATCAAGAGCACATTGACTTAAAAAATGTTTTCTTTTTTGTCACTTGTTCAAAATTATACTGTAGTATTCTATGTACTATTGACTAATATTTTTGAAAAATCTGTTTTACGCTAAAATCTTCAAAGCAAATTTTGAGAACTTCATTGCTATCTTAAAATAACCCAAAAAATCATGTTTTGAGGTACAGATTACATTTAAAACTGACCGCTAGAAAGTCGTTTTGTGTCAAGTCGCGCCTACCCCACTGCCAAAGTTAATGTGACCTCAATATTTTTTAATTAGCTACTAAATTAATGAATTCTGTATTGAATAGAACCCTTATTGATAATTATAACATGTTATGAATTTATAACAAATATTAGCTACAAATTTTGAAATTATATCAAAATTCATCTCAGGTCACATTTTGACCGGGGTCGGAGGCGGAGGTAGGGACGGACGGCTTTTCTATATCCCCCTCGAACTTCGTTCGGTGGGATAATTACTCATCATTATAGCTAATTAAAGGATATATATATTCAATATATGAATACTAATCCTAAAGCTAATTAAATATCTATTTGTTGTGCTTATTAGGCTCCCAAAAGGCAAAACTGTTGAAATCCGAATAAAAGATGTAAAACTGGCGAGTCTTCTTCCCGATTGATGAAAATATGACATTTGGTGCAAATTGGTTCCCAAGTGGGTGCAAGCCTATTTTCAAAATCCCATATGGATGCAGCGCCCATTCGCTTTAATGCTGGGATAAGCACTGCTGGCTTTTACTTACTAAGTATTGATTCACAGTCCCATTCTTTCTTAGGCATGTCCAGTTCAACAGTTATCATCTGTGTGTTGTCCTCTGAATCAGAGCTGCTCTGAACATCATCTGGATTGCCCTTCACTATGACATCTTTCAGAAGACTAGATAAGAAATGAAAAATATTACGAGGTTAAGTGGTTAGTTAAATAACAGATAAGAAAGCATCTCATATGCTCAATATAGGATTATTTAAAAGTTCATTAAAGACATTCTGCCACTGTAACCATGCAAAACAATATAACTGGAAATAAACATTGTGTGATATAAACTGACTATAAGGGCTCATAGCCCCTCCCCCATAGTTTAATGAATAGAGTTAATATATGCACATACTGATTCAATGAGATTCTCCCTTCTTTCATTCTGAAGTCCATTATTGACAGTTGAGAGGAAGACTGACAAAACCAGCATCATCGTGAAAAATTTTTACTAATCATATCAATATAACATTTAATCAAAACTCTATAAATAAGACACCATTACAGTTGATTATGATTCAAATTAAATAACTGCATCACATGGATAACTGCAACCATTGTTATTTCGGCACTTTTTAATTTGGTAAATTTATCATTTTGAATAGTAATGTTTGAATTTGTGGATTTGATACTGATACCCATTAAGGAATGATCTCTTTGGGCAATTCAGATATTCATCAAATAAAATTTGTCCTCCTATTCAATTTTGGCAGTGATGCTCAAAAATGCAATTTAATAGAGGACACTTATTTCAAAGGATGAGTCTGGGAATGAGTCTGGGTATCGACTTAGAAAATATTGAAAATTGTAATGTCTGAAAAACCAACTCAATCACACATATTATTAAACTTCAGTATCTTATCCTTCTTCTGAGAGTACAAAAATATCAATTTGTATCACAATTAGGCCTAATGAAGAATATTGGCATCAAAGACAGTGCATATCACTTTGTCAGAATTGAAAAAAAATCAATGGCAAATATAAAATGAATTATTTATACAAAACGTTTGAAACATATCCTCCAAAACATTGCTTACTTTCTTTTTATAGACATTGAATGGTATTTCTGGATAAGTGAATTGGTGTTTATCTGGGTAATCAAGGGATTATAGTCACTCAAAGTTACTGAGCATCCAGTTTTGAGACTTCAATTGTGTTGGTGAAGTTACACATATTTCAGTCAAATTCATGCTGAGCACAACATTTTGGTTTCAATTTTATAATCTCTATACATGACCCTGGTGATGAAGAATCAGAATCAGTCAAAAAACCTAAACCGGAAAACTGTCCTCATTGTGAAAACTAAAAGTGAACAAACTTTTTTTCTGATATTTCTTACATCAAATGGCAGCCATCTTGTTTTTCCCCCTTCAAATTAAACTGGTCGGAAATTAAAAAATTTGAAAAAATTTTAATCATTAAACATATTTCAAAAATATGATTTTCTTTTAAATTCTTCATGGGGCTTAATTTATTTCTTCTTTGTAAGTCATACATGTTGCCATTGGTGTTTTTCTATGATAATGACTATTTCTTTTCGTTAAGATACTTATATTCTGACTCTCAGCAGGGGATTAATTATGCATCAAAACTTGTGAAAAAGTAAATATACTTATGAAATATAACTAGGACAGTAATAAAAAACACATGTCACTGAGGGACCAAAAGGGCATATACCCGGACACATCCTTTTGGTAAATCTGCGAACTTACATTTGGTCCTGCTGCTTCTCAAACTCATTCATAGCTAAGTTGAGCAGATCGCTGTTCTGTTGTAGATGGCCATCGATTTCCTCATGGTCAAGAGCACCTATCTCTGTTTCGTCATACTCCTCATACAACTGAAAGAATTTTACATAAAGGAATAAACCAAGAGGCATGCAGTAAAAGCTCTAACACCATCATTACTAGTGAAGGTGTAGTAGAAGGTAGAAGGTGTATAGAAATAGAATTTAAAGGATTGTCCACATTTTGTTAAATGACTGGTAGAAAAGACTCAGAGTTTGTGAGCGCTCACCTTAACAATAGCATGTAATAATGCATTTTTCTAGGAACAACCATGTACGTGTATTTTGCTCAATATCACTCTTATCTGAACTGATTTGCTTAGTTTGTTCAATAAAAATTAAGTTAGAGATATACTAGAGTACAAACTTGATTAAGTTTACTGATAAATTGTTGTTATTATAAAAGCAACATTCTATTACAAAGTCAAATTTTTTTGGGTGAGATTACAATAATAGTGACTCAATTATTTACCTGGCCTTATATACATGTGCACAAACCTTTTCAAATCGATCATCCAATAATGTTAGACCTTTATTTCTATGAACAACTGATGATGTCATTGAGTAAGCTGTAAAGCGAGATTTTGTTTCCTCATCCGAAAATCCTTGCCCCCAACTCCCATCTTCAGAGAAATCATCTTCAGCTTCATCTGATGCAAAACCCTTCTCTTCATCAACATTAACTTTGTCAACTTTTTGTTTGTCATCTTCATCTTCAACATCTTCCCATTCTTCATCTTCAGAAGATCTGTCAAAAAGGATTCGACACTTACTTACTTAGAGCATTTATTCAACACAGATTTAGAATTTTGGATTTTTTATTGTCTAGTTTATGTCCAAATAAATACTTTGAAGTCAGTATTCATAAATAAGTTGAAACTGCAGGTTCATACAATTGTCTAATACAAAATTATCAACGTAAAGAATTTGAACTGATGGACATATTTATTACAAACTTAATATCAGAAATAAATGCAGCTATTTAAAGCATACCTTGGTTCATCCTCATCATACAATATCTCGCCTTCATTAGCCTTCACAACAAAGTCATCATCCAGAAGATTGTCTTCATCTTCGTAATCAAAGTCCTCATCCAATGCTGCCACTATATCAGGGTCCCAGTCCAGCTGTGGGCCTCTCAAGGGTGCAGCTTTATTCAACAGACCCACGTCTGTTTCAACTTCAGATGCAAAAGCTGACGAGGGAAGATTGAGCTTTTTTTCCTTAAAGTATAGGGTATGATTCATGGATGTTATATGTATAAATGACAGATGTACAAAACATAGCAGGGGTTTCATTAAAAATTCTGGGAACAGGAAAAAATCAAATCAACAGGCACAAATATTGGAAAATATAATTTTTTAAAGCACTGAAAAATTTCTCAACAAATCTTCTTTGGTTGCTTTTACCAAATTGCATGTTGCCTTCAACTAATGAAACCCTTGATAAGCAGCAGATCCCTATCTCTTAGAATTATGGAAGCCATTCAATTTATCTCTTTGTAACATGAATTGCATGTACTGAAATTTCCATCAAAGGTAAAAATCGATTTTGCATATTTTCACCCACAGTGCTTGAAGAAGCTAAGATAGATAACAAGCCTTATACACCATCTAAAGATAATGAAGCATTTTGAAATACCTTTTGGTTGACAACATCTAATGTTGCGATGTCTTCTTTATGTCCTCTGGAGAGTTGTTGCACTGGTTCAACTTGATTAATTTCATCTACATCACGTAAATGTTGCATATAATCATAATCATCATCGTAAAAAACACCAAACTTTCTCTCTTCCTCTTTTTTTCTCTTGGCCTGTCAAATTTAAAAATCACACAGCATATAACCTACATAATTACATATTTAACATAAAATAGAAACAGTTTAATAAACTAGATGCAAGTAAAAATAATCTTGATTTTTATTAAATATTCAGAATTTAGTAAAAGTAATATTCTATTTAAAATCTGCACACAAAATCACATCTAGAAATGTGATTTTAAAATTATTCATCAACAAAAACAATTTAGATATTATTTTTTACTGAACATATTTCAAATTGAATAATCATCAAGCTCAAAAGATTAGAAGAAAATTGATCCCTTTAATCTATATATTATTCAAGTTTAGGGGAAGTTTTATATGTCTGCTACGTACTGCCACTTCAGTAAATGCGATAATTTGAAGCAAATGAAAGAATTACAAAAATCCAAGTCAGTTTATAAATCAGGATTCCCAGGCAGATCTGCCACCTCCCTCCTAGGGTGGATTATTTATATTTCTTTCCTTGAAAATTTCAAATTTTCAAAATGTAACATCATTTATTAATATTTCATTACCCTCTTTGTCAGTTTCTAGTTCCACCCCTGTAATCTGTATACTGTATACTGTACTTACAACATCTCCCTCCACCGGGAGGAGAACATGCTTGGATGCATCTTCATCTGCTTGAAGAGGATCACGTTGACTCCTATGGACCAAGTGAAATGTCACAGCATTCTTCTTATCTATAAATCGTTTCTTTCTTCCAGGCTGAAACAGTATTCACATTATATATTAAAGCAGGTATGTATAGTGGTATAATATATAGAGCACATGTATTTGGGTATATGTATTATAAGGTTATATAATGGTTCTTTCTGTATATCGTGTTTATACTCGAGTGAGTATATGATATATTCACAAGTGAGCGTAGCGAACGAGTGAATATATTATATTCTCACAAGAGTATAAAATGCATGATATACAGAATGAACCATTATATAATCTTATTATGCCACTCTAAGTTCAATTAGGCCTACAGTTGATTCGAACACAATCATATACGCTGGAGTGATATGGACTGATTTTGGGAAATACAAAATGTCGTAACATTCCAGTGACTCGATTGCATCAACACTGTCCAAACTACATGGGATCATAAGAATGATCAGCACTACTGGTAAACAAGAGTGATGTCAACAAAGTAGCCTGACAGTCGCCTTCAGTGTATCTAACATAGAGGGACTTCCATGTTGACTGACCAATCAAAAATCATCTCAAAACGTAATCAGATTAACTCATTTGCATGAGTAAACTTCAAATTGAACTTTTCAGTGATTTTATCAGATATTTCTTATGTTGCAGTTAAATGTACATTGAGAAGTAAATATTCGTTAATGCAATTAAGTGTTAATTAAAAACTGAATTTGCAATGTCAATGCTCTAAGTTCTGGTAGATTCATTTCTCACATGTTTGAAATTTATGTTGTATCTTGTCTTTCATTTTCATTATCATAATTGTTAGGCAGATTTTCCTATTGCCACTGATCTCATTTTATTCTATCACCTAAGCTGATCCCCTAATATTTTGGGGTGTATGCGTTACACCAAGACCCATTATACTGATGCGCATTGTACCGAAAGGCGTTATACGGAATGCCATAATACCAACGCGCATTGTACCTAAAAGTTTTTTGTGTGACTTGTAACATATACAGTATATCTGCTTGCAACCTTTAAGAGACATTGCAAGCGTACAGTAATTGAAAGACAAATTAGCGACAAATATATTTAAAGTTTACTTGGTGAAAGAAATGATTCAGCACTTTTCCAGTTTTGTTACATGATATTCACTGATTAGAATTGATGAAAATTTAGATTGTTTGCCTGATGGCCACATGACTTCTGATTTAGAGCAATCTTCAAAAATGGAAGCCAGTTAAAGTTGCCACAGTTTTAACATTTATTTAGCGTTGTCTAATGTCTAGCCAGAGTCATTCAGGTCAGAGTTCACTTTGGAATTTTTTGCAATTTTGAAAGGTAAACCACTGAATATTCTATTTATTCAAACATTCTGAAGAATTATCAACCCTCAGTTAATAGTCTAGGTATACCAATACATCTTTAGTGCAAGAATGTAAGATGTAGATGATGTGTGGAATGAGTTATGTTTATCTGAAAATAGCACATGGTCATGAAATTTCATCAAAGTGCACCCTGACCTTAATGATCCAATCTTGAGGGCAGAAAATCAGAATGAAAATTGCGAGAGTGTACTTCTTTGCGGGAGAGCTTGAACCTGAAATAATTCACTTCTTCAACTCTTTCTACCTTGATTGGTAGGTTGAAGTCTCCACATAGAAAGATGTTCAAATTTGTATTACCATTAACATATAGTTTATCGAGGGATATTTGGAGCAAATCCAAAGCACCAGTATCATTGTTTGGCTAACGATAAAAAGACCCAAACAGTATGCCCATATTTAATCAGCTGTGGCTTCACACTGACTGATACGAAGTCACTTTTGACTGCATTAAGAATGCCGCCAGCACCTTTTCTTTCAGTCTTTCCTGTATGGAGGTGAGGTAGTCTTGGCTGAAGATCCATTTGCTGTCAACAGTATTGTCCAGGTGAGTCTTTACAGCCTATGATGAGATCCTGCTTATGAGTTTCAATTAGTTAAGTTGTAGTTGCTTCTCATGACTGATTAGACAGCTGAGCAGAAGTTGACAGACATGAGGTGAACCTTGTTTCGACTATTTTTTTGCAGTCATCCTCGGTGGTGCTGATTCCGATTCATCATCAGATGATGATGAATAGTCAAGATCTGAAAGAGCCCTGAAGGAGTTTGTTTCCCAGGATTGAGAAAGAGTGGAGTCGTTGAAGAAGCTGTTGGAAAAGTTAGGTAGATCACATCCGGGACAAAATTGTTTTGGTACAATCATGGGCTCTAGAGAATCCCAATATTTCTATGACTGAGTGACTTGAGAAATGTGAGGTTCACTTCTAAGCATGGGCCCAAATTATCCAGACTAGGTTTGGGATATAATACGTGGTAAACTGCTAAAATGCATGCTAAACCCATTATAAGGTAACAAAATAATTATTACTTACCATTTCAAGGTTTATGACAGTCTAAATTCGGATTATTTAAAAAACGTGAACTTTTTCTGAAACGTTCTACAGAGCTAGCAACTTTTTTCAATTTTATTGTTTTGTATTATCTTATAGCAAAAATGTATTCAGTTTTAAACGATTTTGAGTAAAACTAAAAAAAAAAGTGTTAATACAATTGATATTAATAATTTTGATTAGACAAGTATATACTATTACCTAATATTAGCTAGTTAAATCAAATAGAAACTTTTATAATCTCATACGAATTGAATTATTAAAATAAACACGCTAGCTTTTCATCAAAATGGCTGCTCAGTACACCGGCAAGGTAATATCTCCATACTTTTCACGATTATGCTGTAAATACAATATTGATTTCATAAATATATAGCACGATCTTTTCTTAGAGATGTATGTTAAAGAATGCATGTTAAACTATTTTCTCACCCCAACAGCATACGAACAAAATAGCTCTAACCTTCGAAATTGTTGTATAATCTATCTTTCCCGGGATTCTTCTCCTGCCACTGGATCAGCAAAAATAACGAGACACACTCAAATGCAGGTTTTTTTCTGGCACAACCGTGGCAATGTTAGCGAAAACTGCAGGAATCTGCCGCAACCGTGGCACGTTATATATTAACATAATTAACATTGTCCCGGTTGTACCAGACATTGTTACACTGTTATACATTGTCACGGTTGTACCAGACATTGTTACACTGTTATACATTGTCACGGTTGTACCAGACATTGTTACACTGTTATACATTGTCCCGGTTGTACCAGACATTGTTACACTGTTATACATTGTCACGGTTGTACCAGACATTGTTACACTGTTGTAGCATGCAAGGTCTCTACACAACTAGACCCAGATGCTAAATCAGGAAACTGACACTTAGTTTATATTCAATACTATATACACGTTTATTAACCTATAATATGTACACTTAAATCACTCAGTTAAGATGATTATCTATTCAAAATGTCTCTAATATATGTAGAAGATATGTCACTGCTATGATATCTCCACTAATAATTCATCAATCAGTATTTATTCCACATCCAATATCCCATAACAACCAGGTTTCACTCACACAAAGGTCACTCAGTGCATATTCCAAGAACTAATCAATATAATGGTAGCGGCCCAAGTTCTTGCTTCTTTAAGTGTTTCTTGTCAATATATGTATACTAACTGAATCATCAATGTGCCGTTTATTCCCAATCAATCACATACCAATAGTCAGTCACTGTATGAAAGACTCTAAATTTGTTCGGTAATTGACCACAATTGCCCAGAAACGTCTAGACCAAATCAGCTGTCAGTTATTCCATTCAGTCGCGTACTAAACGTCACATTTCACACTGTTATTATACCTCAAGAATCATTCATAAGCAATTAGAAACACTGTCCACACACTGGGATATACAATTCTAGATCATGAATTACAAATCCAACAATAATCAAAAGTCGCGGACTTTTCTACCAAAAGTCGCAGACCAGTCGCGGACTTCTACACACAATTATTCAAAGAACACTACCAAAATGTCATCAAAACCAATTTCAAACACAAGTCCAAACATTCAGACACACTTGGGACGGGAAATTATATTACAAATAACATTAATAGGGCTGTCGCGGACTCTCACCATTCAGAGTACGTGTTGCCACTCCGAGTTACCAATGCCAAAGACAATTCAAATTCCCCGCCTCACTCTTTTATAGAGGAACCAATCACGAACGCATTATTAATGACGTCACGCACCATTGTCAATCTAGAATCAACATTTTTACCACGCTATCGGTATCATACATCGCCGTCATATATATAATTACGATCATAGAGTTCATCTTTAAGTTATTATGTAGAAGATTCCCTATTTAGTGCGTTGAATCACATTTTAACATCGAAACGTATTGGTCGTCAAGTGAGACTATTTTCGAATGCAATCCAATATGGCGGACGACACCTGGAAATTTCTACGATTTCTCATGTTTCATGTCATAACTTCTTCAAACTACAATCAAACGGCTAGTTCTTCTGCCACAACATAGGGACAATTCAGTTGATTTAAAAGATTCAGCATTCTAAGGTAAAACGTCATGTCTTCAACATCATTTCAACAGGGGACTGATATTTTTACAAAATATTTCAGGTTTTGTCTCCTCAGATCATCACACAACTCCCCCCTTAATGAGATGCGTCCCGCATCTAATTCAATTACAAAATATTTCAGGTTATGCCAGTATATCACTCCTTTGTTTCTCTGTTAATCTAAATGCATCTAGTTCCATCGCTAAGTTAATAGCCTCTGTCACTGTTTTTGGTTTCTTTGTTTGTACATACATTCTGGCATCTCTGTCTGGTAACTTATTAATCACATGTTCAACAGCTATAGTTTCATGTCCCACTGCTGAAAATTCTGGGTAACCTCGCCTTGCTAATCTTTTTATAGCGTGTCCAAATTCTTGATAGGATTCTTCTTTCTTCTTCATCCTGTTTTTCAATTGTACTCTAAATGTTTCAATGTTACATATATCATCAAAACGTCTACTCAACTCATCAACCATCATTGAGTAATTATTTCTTGTGGCTGTACTCATGTCACCCAATAATTGCTGTGCATCTCCCCGTAAATTGACAGCCAAATGAGCCACCTTTTGGGCATCGTTCCAATTATTAATCACCGCCACTGTTTCAAAATGTATTTGGTAATCTCTCCATGCTACTTCACTTGTGCCTTTAAATTTGTCAGGAACAACATCTGCTTGTTTCACATTATACCATGTACCATTTCCTGCAGGTAAATTAAATACATTCAACTTCTGCTTTTCCACTGTCTCCCTGGTACCTAATGCTTCTTGAGAGCTGGAAGTGTCCATACTTCCCCTCAAGACTTGGGAGCTGGAAGCACCAGTGCTTCCCCCCGGATCATTGGAGCTGGGAGTTTCATTACTCCCCCCCATATCATCGTTGAACCTGGGATTTTTCATTAATCCCCCCAACGATCCACAGCTAGTGCGTACAGAACCATTGCTCTTCCCATCTCTGGAATTATTGTGCATCCCCTTTCCAATTCCACCCATGGCCAGGCTATGGTTTATTCCCTGTACAGAGCTCTTGCACGTTCCACTGCAATTTCCCTCTCCAGAACTACTGCGCATTAATTCAAAGGGCAGCATTTTGGTACCAGTCTCACTTGACAGACAGCCAGTTTCACCTAACTGACCAATGTTTTTCTTCTGTTCCTCTAGTAATTCAAACAAAGATCCGATTTCTTCATTCAATTGTTCCATAGTCACCATTCCATGATTTTGGTGTTCATTATTCATACTTGTTGAATTTAATCTATTGAAATCCAACCTTTTTCTGGATATCAAATCCTTCTGAGTTCCCGTCTCATTTACCATTGATAATGGGGTAACATCAACCAAGCTAGCATTGGGTGCTGAAACCACAGTTTCAATAGGTTTGTATTTATCTGATTTCATACATCTTGCCATCGTTTCCATACCAGAATCTGAATTGGCCGAAACAGAAACAGGTCTGGAGCCAAGAGCAACATGTGGTCTTTGGTCATCATCCCCATTCATCACCAACTCTGGATTTTTAAACGTAATTTCAGGCACATCCATTCCGCCTTCAGCCATTTTCACATATATGTGTACAATAAGGATAAATATATGCAATAATATAGAACAAAACAAGTGTCTTTTCCCTTTTAAATCACTTCCGAGTATCACGTAAAGTATCGTCAAACACTACTGCCACCAATTTTTGTAGCATGCAAGGTCTCTACACAACTAGACCCAGATGCTAAATCAGGAAACTGACACTTAGTTTATATTCAATACTATATACACGTTTATTAACCTATAATATGTACACTTAAATCACTCAGTTAAGATGATTATCTATTCAAAATGTCTCTAATATATGTAGAAGATATGTCACTGCTATGATATCTCCACTAATAATTCATCAATCAGTATTTATTCCACATCCAATATCCCATAACAACCAGGTTTCACTCACACAAAGGTCACTCAGTGCATATTCCAAGAACTAATCAATATAATGGTAGCGGCCCAAGTTCTTGCTTCTTTAAGTGTTTCTTGTCAATATATGTATACTAACTGAATCATCAATGTGCCGTTTATTCCCAATCAATCACATACCAATAGTCAGTCACTGTATGAAAGACTCTAAATTTGTTCGGTAATTGACCACAATTGCCCAGAAACGTCTAGACCAAATCAGCTGTCAGTTATTCCATTCAGTCGCGTACTAAACGTCACATTTCACACTGTTATTATACCTCAAGAATCATTCATAAGCAATTAGAAACACTGTCCACACACTGGGATATACAATTCTAGATCATGAATTACAAATCCAACAATAATCAAAAGTCGCGGACTTTTCTACCAAAAGTCGCAGACCAGTCGCGGACTTCTACACACAATTATTCAAAGAACACTACCAAAATGTCATCAAAACCAATTTCAAACACAAGTCCAAACATTCAGACACACTTGGGACGGGAAATTATATTACAAATAACATTAATAGGGCTGTCGCGGACTCTCACCATTCAGAGTACGTGTTGCCACTCCGAGTTACCAATGCCAAAGACAATTCAAATTCCCCGCCTCACTCTTTTATAGAGGAACCAATCACGAACGCATTATTAATGACGTCACGCACCATTGTCAATCTAGAATCAACATTTTTACCACGCTATCGGTATCATACATCGCCGTCATATATATAATTACGATCATAGAGTTCATCTTTAAGTTATTATGTAGAAGATTCCCTATTTAGTGTGTTGAATCACATTTTAACATCGAAACGTATTGGTCGTCAAGTGAGACTATTTTCGAATGCAATCCAATATGGCGGACGACACCTGGAAATTTCTACGATTTCTCATGTTTCATGTCATAACTTCTTCAAACTACAATCAAACGGCTAGTTCTTCTGCCACAACATAGGGACAATTCAGTTGATTTAAAAGATTCAGCATTCTAAGGTAAAACGTCATGTCTTCAACATCATTT